AAAGGTATTGAACCTTCTCGTGGAAGCTGTGCATACACTTCCACTGGAGCTTGCTTCCATGTAACAACAGTCAAAGTGCAGATTTGGGACTCTCCAAAAACCTACCTAGGGATTCTGTAGGGTATCACATTAAAAAATAAGAATGTCATCTTCTCTGCTGCACCGTGAAGTCACCTGGACAGCGCTGGCACAAGGAGAGGGTGAGACTGGAGAGGGATTAACCCCATCCTCTCATGCAGCACCCTGCCATTAGACCAGCTCACCTGCATGGGGATGCTGAGCCCCTGCCCTCCAAAATAAAAAAGTTCTCCAGATACTTTTTTGTTGTAAAAGCAGAAGGAATTAATAGACATTTTTGTGGGGAAAAAGTATTGTTATGCACCCTGGAACAACTTGTAAAATTACAGAAACCCCTGCCAATATCATCTGAGGTTTGTTTGCATAACATGCAAAAAGGAAACAAACACTGGCTATCTTAGAAACACTGGGGGAAATCCAGTTATATAAATGGGGGAGGAGACGAAAGAAAGTTGTTATGGAAGAAACTGTTTTTCAGCTTCTAAGGAGATATTTAAAAATTTAAGACAGACCTAAGCGTGAGGAAATTAGTTTTTAAACACTGCAACATTTCTGAATCCGTGTCTGGCACTTGGGGTCTAGGACTGTGTTTCCAAGTTTGTTAAGGAAAAGGCAAAGAAAAAGTCAAGAACAAATCTTGTGAACTGCAAACAGCATCTCTGAGCATCAGCCACACAGGGCACCACTCGATGCACAGAGGCACAAACTCCGTGTAGTGTGTCAGGAGGAGTGCAGACAGCAGCTGTTTTCTCTAGACAAAACTGCATCTCAGAAGGCAAGTACAGGGCTCTGAAAAAATCACTTTGGGAATTGCAAGCCAGTTTCCTCTGCAATATACACCTAGGTACATAATGGTGTAAGCACATATGTGCATAAGTGGTTAGGACTTTTCTTAGAGTTAAAAACATTATGCCATTTGCACTGATGTCTTCATCAAAGTCTGTGGTGGAAGAGAAGATGCTATTTACATGGGAAGCTCTTGATAGATTTACGATACACAGAGCCTTGTTAGCAACCTGATTCTTTAAATGTCACATTTTGCCTATGTATTTCAAATTCTTTTCCTATATTTCAATCTACTTGTAGGTATACAAATATTCTATTTACAAAGCAACATTTGTCTAAAAATAGAGCACATGATTTCTCATTGCCTTTTCAGAGTGATGTCTAAACACCTTCTCCCTCCAAAGCATCCAAATGCCTTCATTTTTGCTACTATTCACGTTCCACTGAGTGTCCTGGAGGACAAGATCAAAGGAAACCACAGCCCTAAGCTTTATCCAGCTGAATGTGTCAAAGGGAAAAAAAAAACAAACAACAAAAAACAAACAAGGTGGCTTGAACCTGCCTCTTCAGAGCAGCCTAAAACTCGAGGTCAGCTGGAGCTTGCTGCTGCTGCAATCCCAGCAGAGGAAAGCTTGAGTTCCCCACATAAACCAAAGACTAAGAAACATGGTGCACTTGCCAATTGTGCCTTGACAGACAACAGGGCTACTGGTTCCCTTTGGAAATGGTTTACCCATGAAAGCAGCAACTACAGATAATAAAGACAGCTACCACAGCAAATGTCAGTCATTGGGTCTTAAGTCTGCCTATGCAGCCACTGCATAGCAGGGGAGGTAATTCACTGCCTGCCTGTAATATTAGCTTAGTATTTTGTTGATATATTAACTAGAAGTTCTGTGAGGTATATCACATGCAGATCTATCATCCCAAAATTCAACACAAAAACCCCAAGATCTTAGATCCCCTTGCATGTCATAAGAACAAAAATAATGAATGTGTCAAATAGGAGAGTGCACGATGTTAAATCAAACGTGACTGATCTTCCATGCATACAGTGAACAGTACAAAACCCCATTACAAACCCCAAATTGTCACATATGACAGGCATGGCTCAAAAATAAAAAGCAGCAGCACCAATGATTTGCTTCAGAAAGAAATCGCTTGGCATTAATACCCTACATCTCTGAACACCGATTCAACTGGAGGGTTGAAGCACTAAGTTAGGAGTAACAGTGGTTTGGACACAATCCCTTCTGGTCATATCCCTTATGGAAGTTGTTTGTTTTGTTTTTTAAAAAAGTTGAACTTTCTATTCTTCTAGAAAAAAAGCAAAAAGTCAAAAGAATTAAAACAAAATAGATTTTCAGTAAAGGAATAGGATCTTTCAGAAAATGATGGTTAGGAAATGCAGTACTTTAAGTTTCCTAAGACACTTTTCAGAAACGACTGAAGAGGCTCACCAGGAAGCCCAAAGGCACTAGTATAAATAGTTAGGTCCCCACTGAAGCCCAAAGTTTTAGTCTTACAATTGTTATCAACGCATTTAGAGGCTAAACAGCACCATGCTTTGAAAATGAATTTGGTACGAAGACATTCCCAAAGACGCTTCACTGGTTTAACATGGGCTCAGAAAACAAGTCTGTTCCCTGACAGTCCTTGTCACTCATTCTTACTTCTCCATGCACCTAGAGGTGTCTTCACATGGTCACTAAATTAGCACACAATCTTTCACTACCCCTGGTATTTGGATTCGCTGCTGAAGACTTAAGATAGGCATTTGAAAGGAGTCCTCACTGGCAGCACTGAACAGGCTCAAAGGAAACCACAGAGGTGAAGCAGCTGAGCTTTTAAGTGCTGTAATGAAAACTGTTTCATAACCATTAAGCAACACTAAATGATGCTGTGTATGCTGCACAAGCCTGTGTCTCTCCCCTGTGCATCCCCACTCTTCTGGTACTGATACAAGATGATGTGTATGGTAAGCCACTGCTATTAACAGGACTCTTCTGACTTACATCCTGGAAATCAGAACAATAGTCAAATAAAATATACAGTCAAAGTTGTATTTTTTTGTTTGTTTGTTTGTTTTAAAAAAGTGATGGTTCATTAGATGAGAGTGTTTTGATAACATCAAGGCAGTCCCTGTATTTGTGGACCTTTCCCCTACCTAATCACTAAGAAATGAAGCAATTTAAAATGCTCTTGCCCTTACTGAATAGGAAAAGCAGCACAAAGGAAAACCTGAGTATGTGATTCAGGTGGGAATTCATTGTAGGAGCACTGGGAAAGGTGTGCGGCTGCTGCCTGTGAACTCTGTGTGCTCTCTACAGCTGCCCTGGCTTCCAGTCCGAGGAATTAAAAAGCTGCTAGTACTCTCAAACTTCAGTTTGGTTTTGTTTTTTGCAATACACAGCCATATGAATAACAGCCACAGTTATTCTTCATGATCAGTTGTTCCGTTAAAGAGGGTTTTTTTTTGTTTGGATCACCACACAACACTGATTGCTCCACTAAAAACCCAAACCACTACCCATGCACTCTGTCCTTGACATCTTCTGCTTTCAATTAAAAGCATATGGCAGCACAATGTAAAATTCATCTTAGGAGATAAACACATTAAGCCAAATCTGCACTAGAAGTCTGCTCTAAAAGAGAAATTGTGAGAGAGGGTTATTACTATTAGGATTTAGCCACCTCCCAGCTATCCAGCACAAAGGGCAGAACTGCTTTCTTTCATGTTATGTGTTAGCTTAGCGTTCTGAATAATAGGCAGTAATAGATTAGGTGTGAAACTTTCTCTTGTCATGTCTGGTGACAGATGGACAACAGCTCTTTGCACTGCCTGTCTGTCTTTTCACACACAGCTCTGCTAGTTCCAAGACTGAATCTCAAAAGCAGAATCCTATCTGCACTTTCTCTTCTTTCAGACACACCTTGCACTCTGTCAGGTCTGCAGACAGGTTTATTTTTGCTGTCTTCATGTTTCACCCTTCCAGGAGGCACACACAGCCAGTTGTTACTGACAACGATTTGGATTCCATTTAGTGTTTTGCCTTTTTGTCAATTTTTTAATCACTCTATATTTTAATTCTATGGAGATGGCAGACACATACCAGCATCTGAAACTGCACCATCCATTGCTGCAGGTTTAAGCTAGGTTAGGTTTAAGCTACTGCTTCCTTTTATTTTGATGGCCACATCACATAGTTTGGTGACCAAATGTCTGCCAAGCTAGCCATCTTCCTGGTACGCTCTCACACCTTTACAACTAGCAGCTTAGCCAGTTCAGCTTCCTCATCTGTTTTGGGATCTTGTTTAGAAAACCACTTCCCTATCTTAGTTATTCAAAAAACCACAAAGTAGCTAAGGAAATTGAAATTTAAAAAAAAAAAAAAAATCGGTTAGGACTTAATGGAGACTCTTTTTATCAAGCTCTTTAACGTGTGACCACTCACCACTGTGATTTGCAGTAAGGAATAAGTAAGTTATAAACTACTTTCTCCTGTAAGCTAGTGAAATTCATGTGTGCCACAGTTGGAAGTTTACACAGTGAAATGTTACAATTACAGCTGCCTAGAGATGCTTATGTGAAAACAAGCATTTTCAAAGATGATTGTTCTGAACACACCTTTAAGCACACACATGTACATCATTTAAGCTTTCTTTGCATCACATGTCTAGTAAAGTAGAGGTAGAATTAGCGGCACTAAAAACCTCCTTATGTTTCTCCCTGCCACTACAGAAATCCCACCTTGCACTCCCAGGTAGAGATGGTCCTTTTGGACAGACACTGGAGAACAGCCAAGCAGCAGGTAGCAAAGCTGATACAGCAAAAGCCTATCCAAAGAGCAACTTGTTCTCAAGGAGCTAGTACTACTACTTCTAATTCCACGTGCCAAACCGCTTGGACAGCTAGTGTTAGTAGAGAGATTTCCCCGTGGCTTACATTGCTGTATAGTGCAAAGACTGCTGAACACTAGGAATGAATGGAGTACTGTACCACTTTGAAGCAGATCTGGAGCTGAAGCTATGAAATACAAAATGGACTAGTGCAATACATTAGGAAAGATTAACTCCTTAACCAAAAGACAGAAAAAATATAGAGCATTCTAAGTTAAAAAACAAAAAAAGTTTTAAACTTTATGCAGTTCTCGTTGAGGTTTAAATCAGTGTTAAACTTTTTTTTCCCCAAGTTTGTACCCCTGAGTCAAACATTGAATAAACATTGTACAGTAGGTACAGATATTAGTGTCTAGTTAAAAAGCAACAGATTTGAATGGCCATTGCTTCAGAAGTGTTAAAACAGTGACAACACCCTTCTGTATGGGAGAAGAAAAAAAAAAAAAAGCAGTCCTATTTGTTCTTCGTTTACAACTAGGTAAAAGATCTCAACACTTTCCAACCACATTGTTTCCACTGTTAGGTTAAGGTTTGTGATAAATGAAACCTTCAGGAAGGAAACCTGTTGGGGCTGCATCATTTGAGTGCACATGGTTGAGAACAACTACAACAAAGCAAAGCAATCTTTCCAAGTTATAAGTTGCATGAGACCATATTAATCCTGGACCACTATGTGAAAGTAGGCAGAGTTCTTTGACTTTGACTATCAGAAGCTCTAAACTCAATACTCTTTATATCCAATATATTTTACTAGAGTAATAACTAAATTGCTATAACTTCGACCTCTTGGCCTCTATTAAAATGGAACATTAACACTTTTGCTAACTTAAACATAACATTCAGCTCACTAGAACCTCTGCTGACTGTCTCCAAGAATAATTCATGCCTTTTGCACTTTTCTTCCTCCTTTCTTTACAACATCAGGAATAAGAGCTTATTCAGAAGGCAGGTTCAGGTACAACGAGGACTCACTGTTAATCATTTGGTTTGTTCTGAAAAAAGTGTGTGAAGGACCACCCTATGTTACTAGGTTTGGGAGAGTCTTCATCATCTTTTGGGGGAAGCAGAAACTGTCGGGAATTAATGGAGCACGGGCTCCCAAAAGATGCATTTTCATTGTTGCTTTCAACTGACCCAGGAGAGTCTGGAGTGTCTATGTTCCAGGCATTTGTGTTTGCTTGAGGTCTGTAACCTTCACTTTTATCCAATTCTTCCTCTGCAGGTGTGTGACTCTCTATTTTCAGAGCACTGATAGGCAGCTGCATTTGGGGCTTATAGCCTGCTGTAGTCACTAAGTCTATTTCTGGCTCCTCCTCTGACTTAATTTGAGGCTGATACATTGACTGGATGTCAATGTAAACCACCTGAGATGACCCCACAGGTTCATCCATAGGGGCATTTGAGATCTCTTCTTCAATGATAGGAGGGCAGTAGGACACAACCACATGGTTCTCTGTTTCTGAGTCAGAGCCGTCTTCAGGCACAGTGGTGTCTGCTGCCGGGGACATCATCTCTGTGTCTTCAATCTTTGGAGCTGCAGACTGTGTTTCCACCACTTCAACACTATTGGGAGTGCAGGGGTTCATTTCCAGTGTTTTAAGTGTCTTATTCCCCTGAAGCAAGAAAAAGGAGAAGGGGAAGAGACTAAGCCAAAGACCTGGAAATCCTGAAAGCAACAACTTGTCCAAATTAAACTAGTATGTTGGCTTGTGGCTGGCACTCATCCCACTGCCATTAGCACAATATATAAAAAAAGTAGTTTAGTTCTCATTTTCCAGCTCATCATATATTCCCGTTAACGTTAAAAGTATTTTAACCAACTTAAAGAGACTCCAGATTTTGCAGTACTTAAGAACTCTATCCCCAAATCTCGTCTTTGTATAACCCATGCCATTTATAACCCATTATTTAAATGTTATGCCCAGTTCCAGCTACTATGTCTACTAAGAGGCTGGAAATATGGCATGTACACTTCACATTTTCTACTTCTCCTAACACTATAACAAAGTACGTTACTCCCACACCGTTATTACGTACTGACACTTCCCATTAGCATAGGAGGAGAGAAATGTAGCAGTCCTTTCCTAGTTCAAACTTTCCAAGAAAATACATTAACAAGAAGAAAGCTCTAGAGAGCACCTGACAAGTTACTCAGTGACTTGTCCTCTTCACCCTTGCCACAGAGTTGTTTTTTACAGCTGGAGCAGAAGACTCAAAAGTTTGCAAAATAATTCTTTACTTGCAATACCTTTTAGAAGTTTAAAATACTAGTTTTAAAATGAAGGTTACCTCACAGATGTTCTTCTGAAACTGCAACGCCTTACTGTTCTCAGGATTCGGTATCTCTGGATAAAATGTTTCTTTAATCCTTTAAAGAGGAAAGAACAAACTTATAAAAGTTACCAAGCCCTGAAACAGATTGTGAATACACAAAAGTAGTCAGGACATTTCCCTTTAATTCAGAATACTGAAGACATCTGGCACAAAGATTTAGGGTGTTACAGTTTCAATGAGTATTAATGGAAAAAACAGCAAACCATTTTTTAATTTTTATTTTTAAACTGGGGAACTTGATATGCCACGTTTACGAAAAGTTGAAGATGGGATGTCTACCTGAATGTTTGTGGATGGCTCACAAATTATAGTATGTCGCCAGCTTATTTCCACTTGGGAACTACTTCTCAGCAGTGCACACTGGGAGACAGCTTCTGCAAAACCTTTTTGCATTCCTCACTCTGATATCTCCCCAACTAAATTTTTCCCTCACCTTCTACAATGTGTTTTTGCTACCCACCTTTAAACAAAACCCACTGACATCTTTGGGTACTTGGAGAAAACTAAAATAATGGAAAATTCTAGCACGGAAGCAAACACATCCAGGAAAAGATCAGAACTGAATGCAGGCATTTACCATTCCCTCTTTCTGTAGCAGAAGATGCTGGCCACCACTCCAAGCAGTACAACCACTGCCACAGGGATAAGGATTGCAATGATTAATCCTACAGCTGGGGAACAAAAAAAGAAAAGACAGTAAGTATATATCCAAAGTTACCAGAAAGTTTTATGCCTTTTCTAATATTCACAAAGATTAGAGACCGTTTCATCAAACTTATCTAAAAGTGGTCTGCCAACAGTGACAGTGAAACTATGTCCGCTGTACACTTCCCCTTTGCCGGAAGGGCAAAAGTCCATCCATAAACAAAGCTGACTCAGTGATAACTACAGGAATCAGCAGATACTTCTCTCCGATTGCTTAGCTGCGAAAGGTTTCATGTGCAACAAAGACTGATTGCCACCATACTTCTGTTCTCAGTAAGCACTGGAATTGCACTTTCAGGTTAGTTAAGTTGGCCAAATCTCTGGTAATGGCTCTTTACAGGCCAACAACTCATTGCACAAGCTGTACTGCCTTTTATATGGTTTATAATGCTCCTAATCCCCATGGTTTATCTCTAATATATTCCCACTGCCTTCCTCCATTGATGTTAAGTGCCTCAAGTTTGATTTTTCATGTATTTCAGTTGCACCCCAGTGTTTAGTCTTTCATACAAAATACTTACCCACCCCCCTAATTCTCCACAGTTAACCTCCTTTTTTTTTTTTTTTTTTTTTTTTAAAACTGTCTTTCTGGGTTTGTTTCTGTCAGGGGATCAATAAAACTAAATTCAAAGCAGAGAGGCATCTGTTTATAATTCTGACACTAGTAAATATTTCCACAATGTCTTTCTTCCCACCATGTATTAGCAGATATTCATCATGGGAAACGTGACAAAAACAAGTAGTTCCTTGAGAATACTAAATTCAGACTCCACCATACTTAGTAGTAGTTTAGATATTATTCTTCTTGCATACATTACCATGAACTACAAGGTAGCTGTAATAGGAAAGGATATTTTCCTCACCCTGAACCATTCCAAATTTTGTATGTAAAAATAACCAACTAAATAAATTAAACTATAGGCCCAAACTACCTAAGGGAACCAGGAAAAAACCCCCACATTAGCTCAGCTTTATGGACATTGTACAACCCCTGTGCTGAAGACTATTCATGAACAAGGATATTCAACTTACAGTCCTCCTTTGTCACCACATAGAGGCTGTTTGGTGGGCTCAACCCACCAGCAGTATAGGCTTGTAGGTCCAGCTGGTAACTTGTTTTGCCTTGAAGATCAAGTATTTTCAAAGACTTCTTTGTTAAGTCAGTGATATTCTTAACTTTAAGTTCTGGATTCCCTGTTTGCGTGAAAGCAGTAAGAAAAGCATAACTTTGTAAGAAAAGATTCACAAAGACAGCCTCAGCTTTAGCAAGACTTTCTTGAAGTCACCATATGAAACCTGAAGAACAGTCTGTGTAAAGGAAAACTTAAATAAAGAATCCTACAAATGCTGCCTGCTTACACAGCACCAAACAGCACAGGAGTGTGTTGTTGCTGCAGATTGACTTTAGTTTCTTACACTCCTGCTTGTCCTCTTACGCTAATGTGAGTCAGGCTTCAGTTCTGTACAGAGATGTCCTTACAAGATGGGTACTAGAAGGATACACTCAATTAAATATAGCCATGTGACCTCCCCCATGTCTCACCTACCCGGGGTATCGGTACACAGGGCAGCGTGTCACATTGCCATTTAGTCACTGCATAGCTTTATGGCTTCAGTGAGACAGGGTTTTCTCCAGCTTTTGCCTTATATTAAAAAACAACTGTGCTAACCACACAAGGAGCTGATTATTTCAAATGCCTTTGTCACACATCAGGGGCCAATTATGTCAGTGAGTAATGCAACTGAATTATGATAAAAGCATCTTTTAAAAAAGTGAAATTAAATTATTTATTTTTTAAAAAGAAAAAAAAAAAAGAAAGAAAAAGCTTGAGCAAGTGAGCTGCAATTTATAAATTTTGTTTACCTGATTCCGAAAGCCTAGGCTTTAAAGCATCTTTTTCACCTTTTGCAAAGGAAAGACGATAACCCTCTAAAAACCCCTGACAATCTTCAATAGGAATATCTTCCCATTTTACCAATATAGAATCTGAAGAAGTTTCCTCTACAGTAAAATTTGGTGCACGTTTTGGAGCTGTAGGGAGAATTATGAAAGAAAAACTTAGTAAGAAACCACTTTATCATTAAATGCTAAATCCATGCAAGTGTTTAATCAATTTCAGGGCTAGCATTTTCAACTTTTTTCCTGAGTACTTTTCCCTCACTGTCAAGAACATTCAAAAAGACTTAGCAGGTGACACTACAAAAATACAAGTATGACAGCCTTGTTGTTATTAATTACTGTAGTATTATCTACTAAAAGAAGCTGAAAGAAAAATCTCTCCTTGGGCAGCTTTCTTACAGACCCATACATGTAAATATCCTTCTTTCTGCAACAAACCCTGAAAGATGGCATAAACATTCAGAGCATACAAATTACTTAGCTTTTAAAGGCTTTAACTCTGTGACTTCACAGCTTGTCTTCAAATTAAACAAACTCCACATTCCTATCATGGAAATCTATCTCAGCTTGAAAGAACTACTCTAAGTAGGTATCACAAGTCCTTATTCCAGTACCAGTACCTCAATGAAAGTGTTATATTGTGTAAAGTCCTGTGCATCAGGCCTCTGTCTGACATTTGGCATTCATCTATCAGTGCTGAACTCATGTTTAAGAATGCATCTATTTCTGTTTCGATGGTTATCTGTTCAAAGGCAAATCTGAAGTTTCAGAATAAATATATGCTCTTGTGCCCAGTGAATACATTTCTCAGTTCCTAGCAAGATTCTTTTGCATGTCTGATGCATTTTTAGACCCTCAAAGTCTGTATCCTTCATCCTTGAAAGCTTACAATCTGTTGAAAACACATATGGAAAAACCTTCTGGGAAACTGCTTAGAATTTTTAGAGATATAAATGGCTGAAAGTTGAGTTTCTGGTAAAACTGCCCTAACCTCATCTTTAACCTTAGCAATGAAATAAAAAATGGCATTTCCAAGGGCTCAGATTTGTCAGCAGCTCAGTTTTCCAAGCAAATTATTTTAGTAGAAAACACATTACACTTCAAAGTGAAATAGGTGCTATAGTTACAGTACAATACAGTTGTGCTGTTAAAGTGTAAAGCCATGTTCAGACTCCTGGGAACAGAAAGCATTTAGACACTAATGCATCTCCAGACAATCAAAGCTCAACCCTGAATCAAACCGCAGTTACCCAGACGGGGCTGGTATGGGAGGGAATACAAGTGCAATTCTCAAAGTGGCTTGTACTCTAGGATCTAGTTCTGGACTAAGAAGTGCTTTTAAACAGAAATGTGGACACTTTTTATATTTGTTGAGCTGTAATAAATGTGCTCAGAAGTTTACTTTGACTTGACAAATCAAAAAAAGTCACCTCCTCTCCTGCAGAAGTGATCCCAGCCCTGTGGTTCAAATTATGCCTGTGCTTTCAACTCTGAAGACCACTGTCTTCAGAGCAAACTTCTATGATACACTGTGCCACCACAGAAGCTGGAGAACACAGGGTTATTGCATGCTAGGAACTGGAAATGGCTACAGGAGTGTATTACGATTACGTACAGAGAACAAGCTGAAGTCAGTTGTACTGCATGGGGATTCTGGTCTCAATCTTCCTCTGCCAACACTGAGCTAAAAATAGACACAGTCTAAATTCACTTTGTAAAGATCCTGAATGATAAAGTGCACTTACGCAGCTCTTTCATATACCCAGTTATGTTTTTCAATAACTGATATCCACTGGATTTGCAGCCATATAGTGAAAAGTTGTATCTCACGCCAGGTCTAAACAGAGCTGCAAGAGAAAATCACTGTAAGAGTATTTCACTTATGAAGAGTGATGCTTTAGCTTTCACATGATGCAGACTTACATCAATACATATTAAAAAATTACAAAGTCTTAGACCACAGTGTTAGGTATAAATACTATCCCTACTTGTAATTCCTATAAAAGCTATGCCATCAGATGCGGTTTAGAAGCAGTAAGCAAATCTAGCTCCCGGAAAAATTTTGGTTCTAAACAAATAGGATTCAAAACAAGCTACTCAAATTGCATAAATTGCTCTTTCCATGGGGAAACACAAACTGAAGTTACCAGAAACAATTCTCCTCCTTTCCTCCCACAGCAGCCATGTAGATCCTGCCTTCTCCTCAGAAATACAAATGCGTTTTGAAATACCCATGCTTATTACAGCAACAGCACAAAAGAAATTCAGAGAACTCCCAAAAGTTATAGTGATGAACTCCAAGCCTGAACTGACTCTACAAAACACAGATAGTCATCAAATTTCTGCTTCACATGTCTGTGGTGGAGGCACAGGTGTTTGATACTACAATATGTAAATAATCCACCACTTCCTGGGATTTCCTCAAGTCAGGAGTGTACACTACTTTCAACATCTTTTCTAAACAAGACACCACTGTGAAACTCCACAGAAGTCAAATGGGTTTTGCAAGAGCTCAGATCCAGCCTGAGAGATTCTCCTGGCAGGACTAAGTGCAGCAGTGGGGCTCTTCAGCCTGTAAGTGGTGACCTTATAGTGGCCTTTCAACACCTGAAGGGGTCTACAGGAAGGCTGAGGAGGGACTAACCTGATCTCCTTCTCCTTCTATGACAGTGTGATGCACTTAGTGGACGAGGGAAGGCCTGTGGATGTGGTGAACTTAGACTTTAGTAAAGCCTTTGACATTGTTTCCCACAGCATTCTCCTGGAGAAACTGCTCGTGGCTTGGATGAGCATACTCATTGCTGGGTAAAGAACTGGCTGGATGACTGGGCCCAGAGTTGTGGTGAATGGAGTTAAGCCCAGTTGGTGCCTGGTCACAAGTGGTGTTCCCCAGGGCTCAGCACCGGGGCCAGTCCCGCTTAACATCTTTATCAATGATTTGGATGAGGGGATTGAGGGCACCCTCAGTAAGCTCGTAGATGACACCAAGCTGGGTGGCAGTGTTGATCTGCTGGAGGGTAGGAAGGTTCTACATAGTGATCTGGACAAACTGGATCGATGGGTCAAAGCCAACTATACGAGGTTCAATAAGGCTGAGTGCTGGGTCCTGCACTTGGGTCACAACAACCCCATGCAACGCTACAGGCTTGGGGAGGAGTGGCTGGAAAGCTGCTGGGCAGAAAAGGTCCTGGGGGATTTGGTTGGGAGTCATCTGAACATGAGCCAGTGGTGTGCCCAGGTGGCCAAGAGGGCCAATGGCATCCTGGCCTATATCAGAAATAGTGTGGCCAGTAGGAGTAGGGAACTGATCGTGCTCCTGTACTTGGCACTGGTGAGGCTGCACCTCAAGTCCTGTGCTCAGTTCTGGACCCCCAATACAAGAGGGACATCAAGGCTCTGCAGCACATCCAGAGAAGGGCAACAAAGCTGGTGAAGGGCCTGGAGAACAAGTCTTATGAGAAGTGGCTGAGGGAGAAAAACAGCTGGTGGCCGGTCATGTGCAGTGCTCCCCAAGGACCAGTGCTGGGGCCAGTTCTGTTTGAGATCTTTAGCAATGACCAGGACGAAGGGACGGGGTGTGCCCTCACTAAGTTTGCAGGTGACACCAAGGTGACAGTGTGTCTTTTCTCCCAGGTATCAAGTGATAAGATGAGGAAAAGTGGCCTCAAGATGCACCAGGGGAGGTTTAGATTGGATGTGAGGAAAAACTTCTTCAACGAAAGGGTAGTCAAATGTTGGAACAGGCTGTCTGGGGAGGTGGTGGAGTCACCTTCCCTGGTGGTGTTTAAGAGACAGGAAGATGAGGTGCCTAGGGACATGGTTTAGAGATGGGATTGGTAG